TCCCGTCCCGTCCCGTCCCATCCCATCCCTGGGATCCTGCGGGCAGCCGCAAATCCTCCGGTTTGCCAAGCCGCGCTCGGGTCGAAGAGCAACCCCGGTGGCAAAGCAATGAATGCAGCAAACGGCGCTCCTGCGGCCGGTCCTGGCGGCGAGGACGCGCTTCGCTCGCTCCCTCTAAGCGATGCCAGCCCAGGGAGCCCACGTGCTGGTTAGATCCACCGCCGGCTCGGAGCGTCGGGTCCTCGTCTGTCTCCGTTTTCCGCCGCTTTGCCCCGGCCATGAGCTGATCGCTTTTCCCTGCTGGGGCTGGAGGCAATCGCCGTTGAGTTCTTGCAGCGATCGGCTGCGTTGCCTTCCGCAAAGCGGACTTATGGCAACATCGAGCGACGTTCCTTGCGCGGTCGTCCCGAGGTGGTCGCAGAGTTACCGGCTCATCAGAGGTCGAGATTGCAGTTCTGACAACGCCGGGAGTCGGGGAGCAGCTGGGAGATAGACCTTCGTTGCAAGGTCACCGGAGAAGAGAAGGAGAGAGGGCTGGCGCTTTTTGCACGCATGCCCCTGCCTTCTGTGGGGCTTGTTGCGGCCGGAGCGGGAATCCGACTTCGGCGTCCTAACGCGGCGGGCTCCAAATCCTCCGCAGTCACGGTACGGTCGACGGAAAGTTGTGCGCCTTTGCAGCGCCGGGAACGCGGCAGCCGCGTCCGAGGAAGGACAGGAACTTCTTCCAGGATCCCTGCCTAGGCAATCTCTTGGTTGGCTCCCCAGGGTGTAGCCCGAGGCGTGTGCCAGCCGGGGTGGGGAGTGGGGGCGAGGCGTCCTGCCAATCTTGGGAAGAAGCGCGGCCCCCACTTCCCTGAGAGGAAAGGGGAGGGATGAACGCGGCGATGGCTCTGGGGCCGCCACGGAACAGCGGCTATCCTCTGCTCGCGTGGCGCGGCGCGGCTCCCCGCGAGACTGAGGCGGCGGCGGCGATGGCACGGGCTCCGTGCCCGAAGGCGCTTTGAGCAGTCGCCTGCTGGTCCCGCACGAACGGGGAGCGGAGGAGACGCTGCGCGAGTGACAAAAGTTTGGCCGAGCCTTCCTCCTCTTTCTAAAGTGAGCCGGCCGTAGTAAGTTCACATCCCTTCCCCGGCGCGACGGACTCCGGATCACCTTTTGGACTTCTTGTGGACTTGGAGCCGAGACAGCCCAGCCTGATCATGCCCCTTGGGGAGCTCGACCACGCGGTGCCTCTCACCCTGCAGGGTCCTCGCTCCTAAGGCGGATTCGCCTCTGCCCCCGGGCTGCGAGCGGCATGGAAGAGCGCCGGGGCAGCGGCGCGCTGCGGGGGCGGCTTTGAAAGTTGGGCGCGCCGTCCCTTCCGGGGCGCCCGCGCCCTCCGCCGCTCGCGCCCACGAGGGGAGCACCCGAGGAGGAGGGGAGGGGATCGCCGGGTGAGGCGTCGCCTGCTGCCTCCAAGGATGGGAGACGGATTGCCGGAGCCAGCCCGCGTTGCAAAGCCTTCTCCCGCCGTGGCCGCCTGCTCCGAGGCAGAAGCGATCGAGGTCTTGGAGAGCGCGGAGGAGGGCTTTCCTGGCGCCGCAGAGGACGTAAGTTTCATCTGAGGTCGCTCTCGCCCTCCGAGGACTTTAATCGCTTCGAGCGCTTAAGCGTAAACGTTAGCATCCCAGAGAGGGGAGTTGGACTCTTTCTAGGAAGAGAAGGTCGGAAGACACTCCCCAGGATCTTTGTGGGTGCCCTGCGGCAGGTTTACCGGGGAGTAGCCTCGCTTGAATGCACCGAATTTACCATTCGGGAAGTGTGCCCAGGACCAGAGCCTTTTAACAAGGGGGAAGAAGGGTTTCTTTTATTCCCCCTCCAGTTTAATCTCTGGGACACTGAATTATATAATGACCACTGGGATTTTCCCTCTTTTTTTGTTAGCATATTTCAGCTTTCCCAACCTGGTGCTTCTGAATATGTTGAACAACACAACAGCCGTTGGGGGATTATGGAAGCTGAAGTCCTTTGCAGCTGGAGGCACCAGGTTAGGAAAGGCTAGTAGAAACCAGATTCATTTCCTGGTTTTAATGATGTGGCTTAACAAGTTCTTTTTTACTAAGTGTATCCTTTCACTGACTTCTCAAATGCTTGGCGATAGTTGCCACCAGCATAGGCTAGTCAGCCTCTGTACTCCAGGATTTCCCAAACCAGGCAATTTCCAGATGTATGGACTTCCGGAGCTCCCCTGTCAGTGTGCCCATTGCTGAAAATTCTTTGGTTGGGAAATACCGACTGGGCCACAGAAGCATTGGCTGGCTGCATATATATGTCCAGGAATGGCTGCTGTTGCCCTGCGTCTCAGCAGCTAAGTTAAAACTGAATGAACAGTTGCAATAAAAAAGGAAGGGATTTCAATGAATGGTCTCATATTCTGGACCATTTGGGCCCCACACATGGCTCCTGTTGAGCTGCACAGCACGCTGGATGATCTTTGGCCACGTCATCTCTCAGGCTCACCTACCAATTTTACAGGTTTCCTTTGAGGATCAAATGGGATCATTCCTTAAGTTGCTGAATTAGAGAGTTTGACAGAAAAGCAGAATGATGGTTGGGTTCATTCAACATGAAAACCCATAATTTGGTTTGGTTCTGGCTTGGCCTGATAGGTGAACCCAATCATAGTGGCTTATTCAACAAAGCAGGATTAAAACAAACATAGTTTAATGTCATGTACGAACCCAGCTAAGTCAGTGTTACCTTCTAGACTATTGCTTCAGGCTTATCACCACTTACATTACCACTGTCCCTCTTTGGCTGAATGATTTCTTCCCATTGTGCATTGCAATGGGGCATTAATATCCTTCCCTTAACTTACTTAGGTTGGTGGCATGGGAACAATAATATCTAATATGATGTAGTATAATCTGGAAAGACTTGGTATATATTGAAGCAAGTCCTGAATATTCTGTCCTCCAAAGAATCCCTAGTATAATTTATTGATTTTACTGCAAACCATAGGTGTCCACATTATGACATGCGTGCAGTGACATCATGATGCAAACCCCACTCTTTCATACTTGTGTTCTGATATCAGCATAGAAATGAAGGGGTTTGTGCCATGATGTCATGATGTGCGTTTTATCACTTCTCTCCCCCACCACAGATGCCCACGCTACAGGTTGTTACTATCATCTCATCTCTGCCCATTTATTTACTCCTTAGTACTGTTAACATTACTTAAAAGAGATGACTTCTAGAATTTCTGAACATTTCTTGACAAAGTACATTTATCTGAAGCCCCATAGCCTGTTTAGAATGTGTCCACATGTATGTTTATTTTCATTAGGCATGACATCATGCTTTAAATGTGAACCTCCGATCTTACTAAGCAGCCTAACTTAGTTTTAAGCCTTAATCTCTAAAGATTCTTAAACAGCGAACCTTATTATTTACCAAGCATGGCATCTTTCTTTGAGGATGCATCCCCCTTCATCTCCACAACTGTGTTCTGGAAGATTTAAAGATGTCCCGCCTTGCTCTTAACCCATTGTTGTTGCAAGATGAATTGCCAAGGGGTCCCAGGGACAGCCTGCACATATATTTCAGCATCTGTATAGTGAATTGCCTTATTTCAAGGAGTAATTCTGTGGATGCTCATTCTGGCAGGATTCTAAAGAAGGCCTCTCTTTTTTGAAAACTGACCAGTCGAAAAATACACCAAGGATTCAGACCCCTGGTGATCCCGCTCTGCTTCTCCATAGGGGACTTTGTGTGAACCTTCATAATGTTTCACTCAGGGAGGAATATGCAAAACTCTCCTAGCTCCTTGATAAATTCTTCATAAAATTATAGGGGATGGGCTGCATCTGAAGATTCAAGGAAGTTTATTCCGACCAAATGGCACACCACTCAAGTTCTTTGGAATTGCTGAGTTTTTCCTGGCAATGTGCAGCAGGTTTGGTGTGGGCTGTATGGCAGGGCTGTGAAGCCTGTGAACTCTGGACTGTGTGCAGATCCCAAACCTGTTTTTTATAGATTCTAGAACCTTTTTTTTTTTTTTAATTAACAACAGGATTGCCAGAAGTCAGCAATGTGGTATGCTGTGTTTTAGAGGTAACATGGAAGCAATAGTCTAAGTCTAAAATGGCCTTGGCATAATTAAAAAAAAAAAAAAGCACCACAAAGAAGTTCCCCTCCAAACTGAAAGAAAAACCTCTGGAAAATCTCAGACATCCTGTGTGAATTACGCAGCTGCCCGTTTTGCACAATCTCCCTGTCTCAGTAGCTCTTGATAGTTTTAGTTGGTCTCTAAAAGGTTTTGCACCCTGTTTTCGGGTACTCTCCAGGTGCATTGAACAACATCATGTAAGATGGGTGTTTGGTCTAGCAGACATAGTTATAGTCCAGATATTTGGAGGGCATCTCATTAGGAAAAGATGGGAATGGAGTATTCCTGAAGCTCAAGAGGCCTCTTTGTAAATTAGGAATCTCCTTGCCATTACTTGAAACACCTGGGGGGGGGGAATTCAGCTGAGAAAATAACATTGAAAGAATTTGCTGGATAGAAGGCCTGGAAACCATGGCTCAAGTCTAGGTCTCTGTCCTAGGAGAGTATTGGTCTGTGCACTAAATCCCATCCCTTGTTCACGCATGAACCAACTGTGCTCATTAAACTGAACATCATCCAAAAGTTTAGAAGGTGCTTTACTCAAGAGATGCTTTTGCAGTTCAAGAAATGTAATATGTCCTGCACATGTTAAAGATATCTGTATCACAATTACAGTCTCCAACAGGCTTTTCTGATCAGGGGGCCTCCATACTACATAACTGGGAAGTTATGGGCGTTGCAATCAAACACATCTCAAAGGCATCCATTGGAGAAGGCCAGGCTGTGGTGTAATCTCATGGCAAATCTAAGCAGTTTAGTTTTAGGCTTGCGTAACTGGTTTAACACTTTCATGTAAGTGACTTCTGGTTTATGGCATCCCCAAAAGGGTTTTTTTTTTTTTTTTTTTTTTTTTTAATAAAGTACGTTGGAGTTTCTTTGTGAATGATCCCCAGCAACTTCGCAGGTTCTACAGTTCCTTGGATAGGAGTCATGGCAGTTATATAGATTAGATATGGGCTTAAATATGTAGTGCACACATGCAAGAGAATTCTCATAGGATGCCAGATAAGAACAAACAGAGAAATGAATAAATATGGATGTGGCTGATGTGGGCTGAAACAGCACTCGATCAGGTATACTTTCCTACATTCAGATGGAGCCCATTGGGCTTAGTTCATTAACCTGGAGAAGCAATATGGTCCCGCATCTTTGAACACTTTGTAACCCCTGCTGATAGAACTTTGGAATTCCAACCCAGGTCTCACTTCACAGCCTGTTTGAAACAACATGGAACTGAGGAATCCATTATAGATTTTGGTGGTGTTTGTATGTGAATCATCCGTACAACTCTCTGAACTGTCAGTTTGCTCATTCAGGATTGATACTTTTAGCAATCATGTGAGAAATATCCCTCTCACCCAAATCTCAAGTACCCCCTTCTCCCCTGGGAATTTCCACCTTGACTTTTTATTTATTTAAAAGCATTTATATATTTCCCTAATCTAACAGACTTGAGTGAGAATAGCCTGATCCTCCAACAGATATCTTCAGTGATGACAATTTTGTAGGCATTCAGCATCTGACCCATCGAAGGAAGTGGTTGCTGTATTTTGCTAGTATTTTAAGTTAACCTCTGCCCAAGTGGCAGACAGAAAAATCCATATGCTGTTTCTTGCCTTCTTCCTATCCATACATCCCATTACTTCCTGCTTTATAGAACCCTAGAGTGGAAAGGAACCAAAGTTCATCTACTCCAACCGGCTGCCCACAGGCAAAGCTGCCAAGTCACCAGCCCCCCACAGATCAGCCTTTCCTGACCAGAACACAGTGTGACCCAAGCAGAGGGCAGAAGCATGCCAGAAAGGTACGTGCAGATGCAGTAGATGTAGCTTAGTGTGAAAAAGCCCTGTCTTCAGATCTGCGTGTTTTTTCACTCACTAAATGGGAAACACAATTATATGGGCAGGGGGAATCATGGGGAAGATTGGGGAAGAGGGCTGTAGGAAACTGTACTAAGCTACTATACGATACTCTTGGTCTGTCTCTGTTTACCCTGCAGTGTAAGGCAGTTTCATTTGGGGAAAAGGAAGGTAAGTGTATTGGCCCAAAATGAGTGTGACAATGACACATAGCAGTTACTGCACACCTCCTTCAGAGTTCTGTTTGTCTGAGGTCCCAGGGTGATTGGCTTGTACTAGCGTTCAGCATTTTTCAGGGACCAGGCAGCATTGCACAATCTCATTGACCCCCCCCCCCCGTTTTTTTTCTCATGCAATCTTAGCCACCAAGATCTTATACAATGGTTGTGTTGTTGTGACTCATATTCCCACAGCTAAATGAATTGCCATTCATTCAGCTAGCCCAGTTTTCAGGGTCTGCACAACACACTGAACCAGAGACTAACCAGGAGTTGGGTTTGCACAACATTCTGTACTAGAGTTTGTGGTCAAGAGCATTGTGTGAACATGGTTTTAAGCCTCTTATGTGAGATGCTGAATTGCAGATCCTAGCATTATGGTCTCCTGTGCCTAGATATCAGTATTGAACATAAACAGCCAAACAAGCTGAGAGTTAAGTATGAGTACAAAGAAGACTAGGCTCAAGGATGGATTAAGATAGTCCTATTGAAGTTGATAGGATTTACTCCTAAGTACAAGTTCATAGGACTGAGTTCTCCTAGATTTCTGTTGCTCTTGCTAGCACTTTTATTGATTAGTATCTTTATTTATAGAAAGATTTCTGTCCTGCACTTCTAATGCATCTACATCACTCAAAGTTCTGTGCAGGCAAAAGACCCCACAAGTTGCCTATAGGATAGAAGAATTATTGCCATAATCACATTCCAGGTTAAATTTCAGAAAGATAACTTCAGAGATAACAGGAATAAATTTTACTGATAGGAACACTGGCCTCAAAACATGGGTGGGGTGTCAGCATGTTGCCTTGCCATTTCTTTTACTTTTTTCTTCCCTTGTGAAAGAAACTTCTGTTTTCTCTTCCATCCTCAGGGAGCTTGAGAATTTCTTTTGAATTTCTCTTGATGGTGCTTCTGGGCTCACATTTTTTGTTGGAGCTGCTGGAGGAGGCTACTGCTACTGGGGCTCACCTCTTTCCCCTATGAAGCCTTCCTGGCAACTTATACCTCCCAAAGAATCCCCTTCGGATGGCTTCCCTTGGGATCTAATTGTAATGTAGGAAGCCAGGAAGGCTGTTAACTGTTAAAGAGATGGCTGTACAGTGAAGGACAAGTTATTCACCCACTGTTAGTCCACTTTGTAACTAAATAAAATGCCAGAAAGCAGCATTCCACCCATGGGACTCTGTGCAAAATCATCTTCTCCTTGAAAAGAAATGTTGAAAGCAAGTTCTCTTTCATCAAATTAAGTGAGAACTGGTAAAAAAAATACCCAGGACAATTAATTGCACATGATATTTTAAGCCTCTGGTTGAGTGGACAAAATAAGTGACTTTAGATCCCTGCAATAGCCTGTGCTTGGCTAAGACGACCATTCAGAGAACAGTAACATAAAGCATTAAATACAAGGTATGAAAAACCCCAAAGCCCAAGAGGGCTTCCAAATTTTTCAAGACAGACTATGCATCTTTGGGAGCAAGAAGAAGCCAATAGGCTCCTTTCTTAGGTTTATACTAGCCAAGAGAAGGGAGCCTTGGGCAATGGTTTAATTTTTCCCCTTGCCTGAATGAGATCCATGTTGAGAATGAGATCCATTGTTGGCCCAGAATTCAGATTTCCTAGGAATATGGTGACTACAGGAAGGATTTTCTATACAGCCCCAATGAGAAGTATCAGCTTCCTTAACGCTTCTATCCATCCTTAATATTTAAAGACATTTGACTTGCTGGATTTCTTTCCCAGGGAGTAATAATAAGCCTGGTATTATTACCTGGGAAAGCTGTGTTTAACAATACATGTAATTAGAGAGAAGAAGCTGCATTTAATATTACACAAGAGACCGGAACCAGCCTTTCAGAAGCAAACAGGCTTTTAACCCTCCCTAATTATAGCCCCCTGAATGTCTAGCATTTAAAGTGTCTCCAATCTTGTTTTTGAATTCCTTCTTGCAATCACTTGGCTAGCCTTGGTGGGGATGTCCCTTTTCTGCTGCAAAGAAGTTAAACGCATGGGATTCTTTTAGATTGTAGGGTGAAACCTGCAGCAACTTCATCGCTAGAACCGATAACTGACTAGGGGGGAAAAAGGCTTTTGGAATTTTTTACAGGCTTATGCTGGCCAAAATCATCTGGTGAAGGTTTTGTAGCAAATAAAGATTGCGTTCTGTTAAGATCTGCAGTTCAGACTCTGTCAAAGGCCCAGCCATAGAAGCTGGTTGACCCGAGGGCAACCAGATTCTGTGGGAGAGATCCAGAGGATGGTCTGTCAGTAGCAGCATCTCTTGATTAGCATTCTGCTTCAGTCTTCTTTCCTGGCAAAAAGAAGAGGTTACAGCATGGTTTTGCAGGTGCATTCCTCCATGCCTCTTTCCTAACATTTTCTCATGAACCCAGACTCTTAAAAAAAGCCTCCTCCCATTTTCCCTCAGGGGAATTTCACTGCTGAATCAAAAGCTTTTCAGGGTTAGAAAGATCAATCCATTGGAAAGATATTCTGGATGCAAATGAGCTCTTGCCCTCTCTCCTGTGAGTGTCCAGTAGCTAAACCCAGATGGAAGTTCCACTGGTGGAGATTCAGTGGGCTTAAGGACAATCTTGGAATGTGTGAAGTAGTAAAGAAAAGAAGAAAAAACCAGAATGGAGCAAGTATACAGCACTTTTTGCTAAGCAGTGACTGATTCTTTTCCACACTTGGAACTAGCACACCTGGAAAGGTGGTCTGTCACATCTGTAAAAGTGAGAGTGCCCTTCATGAGTTCAGCTGGTCTTCTGCATTGGTACATTGAACGACAGTTCAATTGGAGAAAACCAGAGCTCTTCCAAGTGCAAAGTATGTGCTCTGCCATCAAGCAATGGGCCCTTTCACACTTGCTCCTATGGAGTTTGCAACAACAGCTCATGTGATTTCAGATGCTGAATTTCCCAGAGCCAAAGAATGATGAACTCATTTCCTTTATTACAGTCATGCCAGAGAATGCTTGGTCCATTATGGTTGATTTGATATAAACATCTGACCTTCTGTTACTCTCCAGACAACCAGTTTGGGTAAGCTCAGCAGGAATTAGGTCACACAAGGCTCCAAGATGGCCCTCTTCAGCTCCTGAATTTGGGTCAGTGTGTAGGTGTGGGTTGCCCCTCTCTCTGCTTACTTGACAGACACACTAGCCTAGCCTTTTCCAGGCTGATGCTCCCTACATGCATTGGAAATTCTGGGAGTGGTTTTTGCAAGGTTGAAGAAAACTGGTCAAGCCTTTTCCAGACAATTTAATACCTGGTTGGCAGCTTCTATATGGCAGCCAGGGTTAGCATCCATATATTTTATTGAAAAGTAGCAACTTCCTTGCACTTGCAGTTGGGGCCTGCTTCCATGCATGTTAAATGTTTATAAGTTTATACGTTGCATTTAGCTCTTTATAGGCTTGTACCAGTGAGCCAGTTTTTAATAGCAAAAACAAATGGAGACTGGGAATTATCAGAGGCAAAGCCTTCGTTGTGTGGCAGTAGTAAGTGCTGCTTTTCTTGCTCATGACTAGCAAGCTGTCCCCATCAAAATACCTCTTCTGCAAAACTGTGACTGCTGCAGGAAGCCTCTTCTCCATCTGTTCATTCTAGAAGGGAATGAAAGGCATGTGAGTGGAATTATATTAACACGCCCTCATGTTGTAGGTTGGGATTAAAGGTGGCTCTAGGGTAGTTAAGACAGTGATGTACATAGAAAGCATTAAAGTACCCTCCAGAGTTGTGGGGATTCCAGCTCTTAGAATTTCAAGAGAGTGCAGCCCAAAGCAGAGGATTTTGGAAGCTGGAGTCCCAACATACCTGAAGGGTGCCATGGTGTGTGTGTGTGTGTGTGTGTGTGTGTGTGTGTGTGTGAGAGAGAGAGAGAGAGAGAGAGACTGTTGAAGCATTGATGCAATTTGTCAAAGTGGTATCCAGTTGTATTAATGCTTATGAAGTATCATTGAAGGTTTTGTGTAAGCATTTTCCCACTCATCCCCTTTCTTTGGAGATTTTCACCGAAGACAATATAATACTGGCCTTATGGAGCTGTATTAAAGCAGTGGTGACAATAATGTTGGCAGCACGTGCCCTACCAGGACCGTTGCACAGGAAAGTTTTTCAATACAGGCTGAGCTGTGATGTTGCTATCCTGTCTGGCAGCTTCTGGAATCATATTAAATAGAGCTGAGATTGAACGTTAAATCACTGGGAAGATTTACAGTGACAAGTGGGAATTTTATATAATTGAATATTCACTTAGGCAAGAACTTGATCGTTGTTAATGTGCAAACTCTGGATTCTCCAACAGTTTTCTGAAGCAGACCAACCATGTGTAGCAGATTTGACTGGCAGATGTTGTATGATCTTCTTAGTGTAGAATCGGCTGGTCTTTCTCATTTTTGATACAAGTACTTAGTCCTATTACTCTTGCAATCAACATAAAAGTAATACTTTAATTATCACCTCCTGAGTCTATGCAAAGATGTAAAAATTGACAAGTTGTGTGATCAGACCGACTCCGTCAGTGCTAGAAAAAAAATGAACAATAAAGCATTGAAATGGAAGTGTGAGGTTCCCTCCAAAAGCCCTGGAAATATTGAAGAACTAACAAAAAAGAAGAGAATAAGAAGAGAATGGAAAAAAAGGAATTTTTTGATACAGGTAGTCCTCGCTCAATGACTACTTTTTGAGCAACTGTTTGACGTTACAACAGTGCTGAATGAGAGACTTATGACTGGTCCTCATAGTTGCAGTTGTCGCAGCATCCCCACAGTCATGTGATCACGATTCGGAAGCTCAGCAACTGGCTTGCAATTACGCAGTCTAGCATCCCATGGTCACATGAACACCATTTGCGACCTTCACTGCTAGCTTCCAAAAAGCAAATTCAGTGGGGAAGCTGACAGGAGGTCACAAATGGTGATCACGTGATGTCACACTTAATGATTGTGCGGGATTCACTTAATGACAGCAACCAGAATTATCCCGACTGCTGTCATAAGTCAACATGGTCGTGTGACATTGTGCTTCGTGACTGCATCGCTTAGCAACTGAGTTGCCTATCCTAATTACCATTGTTAAGCGAGGACTACCTATACTTCTGGTCTTTGCATCTCTAGGTTGAAAGGGTTCTGAAATACATACTGGAGTGGTGCTACCTTCTCCTCTAACTTAACTAGGGGGAAACTACTCATTGTCCCACACTTCTGAGAGGTGAAGGGAGCTGAAAACAGAAGGTGCTGCTTCTCTGAGACAGCTCCAGGGCTTTGGAGTAGTCTCCTGCTAGAGATCAGGCTGACCCCCTCTTTGCTGGCTTTCAGGAAGATATTAAAAACTGAACTATTTTGGAGAGTGTTTTAACTGAGTCGATGCACTCTGCAATCTTTTATTCCTTTTTATTCTCTTTCCTTTTTCTGATATTTTATTTTGGTTCTACTGAGTCTTTCAGTTTGGGGGTTTATCACTGTCATTTTATTACTATTTTTAATACTGCAGATGTTTTAACTTGTTACTCAATGTACATCATGTCAGCTGATAAGAGTTGTTGGATTGCAGTGGGATAGATAGAAATGAATAAGCAAACAAATAAATCATCTTTGCCAAAATATCCCTACTGAAAGAAATGAACTCTCTGCAATATATAAATAACAATTTAAAAAAGTCAATGAAGCTGTATTGAAATTAACTCTGTATAGAATACTGTGCAAATGAAAGCCAGGCTGTACCAAAAAGCTTCTGAATGTGGCTCTGGAGGTGTTTGGGTTGGGGGGAATAGCTCTCTGAGAACTAGAGATGCCACCTGTTATGTTCCTCCCCCCTCCCCGCTAGACTAAAATAAGCAGATTTTCCCTTTCCTATATTTCCTATTTTGTATTTTGTCTCTTTCAAGCAGAGTTCTAACATGAATTGCATTTCTGTGTTCTTACATTTTCCTCCCCTTTCCTTTTTCTTTCCTTTATGCCTCGCCTCTAACTTCTCAGCACTGGAAAGCTCTGTTTGATCAGGTAGGTGAACCTTTTGGAAATGTTTGCTTTAATACCTGTTAACAAGGGAGATCAAATGAGTCTCTCCATCAGGGAGGAATTCCTGAGTGTCCTGTAATGTATGACTCTTTGTGTTGTTGGCCCAACCCCAACTGGTTGGGCTTATATTATGTCCTGTGTTCTTCCTTTGCCCTCTACTTCCTGTTGTGCTTTTTTTCCTTTGTTGACTGAGATTTTCCTCCAGAGTGATGTCCTTAAAAAGCAAGGAGCTTAATGTGTTCAAGTTTGTTTAGCCTTTTTGTAGAACTCATACTTCAAGGTTGCCTTTGCTGGTCCAGCTCTTTAGAAGGAAGGCTAAATTCATCCTCCAGGGGTCAGTTTCTTAGGAAGGGCATACCGATTCTGAATTTAACTTCAAATTATTTACGAGTGTTACAAAAGAAGGCCAAGAGTAAGGGCTGATAAAATCTCCATGTTTGAAATTCCAACAATACATGGAGCAGATAAATATGAGAGCCTTATGCTGATTTAACTAAGCAGGCCACCTGATCATTGAATTCATTCAATACAGGCTTAAGTGCTGAGTTACCTTATGCCTAAATGTTTTATAGTAGTATGTAAATACTTTAAATCTTTTTATCCCATTGTGTGCTGCTGACTGAAGTACAGTTGAGATAATCAGCACAGGCAGAAATGGAAGCACCACGGGGATATTATTGCCCCACACACCTGCAAAGAACCCTACAAGCTGTGGTTGCTTGTTAAGCAGGTGCAGTTTGTGGCCTGTGCAGAAAGCAGAGTTCCAGAATGATGGAGCTGATCAGAGTCTGGTGTTTTGGCAGCTGAAATGGGTTGAACACCATGGGTTGAGGTGAGTCAGGGTCTTTCAGATCCAGTAATAAGGAGCAAAATATTTCCACCCATCTCTACATCAAGGTGGCACAACCAATTTGATAGGGGTGCTTATCAATGTGTTAGTAGCACTTAAATGTATTTTTGCTTATTAACTCCAGCAGAGGATCTTGAAACTTGGGTTTAAAAAGGTAACAAACTGTAGTTTATTATTTCTCAAAAATATCTGGTGCAAACAGGATTAACACTGCGCACAGGTAAGCTACAAGCTTGGTCCTTAGAATGGATGGACCAAGGCCTTCTGCTGGATTTTGTAGTAAGCCACCCCACAATGGCTTTGCCCTGTGGCTTGTATGTTCCTTGTTTGCATTTATAGATTGGGTGGTGCCTACAGAATGCTGTGTTTTTACCATGAAGTTGAGACCCCTTCTAACTGGTGAAAATTCATATGGAATCTTTTAACACTGACATATTTAGATGCGGAAAAAAGTCGTGTTCAAGGTACAGTTTCTCTCAAGTCCCCCTTTTTTTTTTTAGTAACATCTTATTTAGCAGAAATATGAAGCATATGTATTCTTATGTAAAGCTGATCCACAGACTCACTTGTAGCTTAAAGAATTAGTATTTCTTTATGCCAGTGAGCTATTGTTACTTCATCTGGACTTGCTGAAAGGTCCAGATTTATGTAGATTTATGAGGCAATTTACTAATTTGGTTCCTGCAAGTGGTTGAACCCAGAAACTTCTTTTGAAGCAGGCTGACCTGTCGGTGATGTACTCCTCTAGTCCTAGAGATGGCTTATTATTGTTCCCTAAGTAATCTTGCTGCCAGTGGTGATGAGTGTCTGTTTATAACCTGGTAAGCTGTGCTCTATATTTAACCCATAAATCTGGTCTGAGCAATATTCTTCATGGTATGCCCTGTAAGGGCAGGGGAAGGATCAGGCAGTCACATTACAGAATGGCCTCTGACCTGTCATAGTCAGGCAGTGGGATGAATTACTCCTGTTTTTATCAGATATGGGCAGTCTTCTAGGAAGACCACAGAAAATACCTGAGTCTCTTCCCTGCTTATGTACACTTAGTTATGTCATAAGGGAAGGGGGTTCTTTGCTTCTCTTTGCTCCTCTCAGGATGGGGGTGGTTGAGACTTCTTCTCTTGCCTTCTGTCTGAAGTCAGACACAGAGAAGAGCACTGTGGAAGGATGTCTGCTTTGGGCGCAGAAGTTCCCAGATTTGACCACTGGTCTCCTCAGACAGGCCGGGAAAGGCTTCTGTCTGAAGCCCTGAAGAACCATCGCCTGTTGCAATAAATCCAGCCAGGCTACATGGACAAAGTTACTGCCTATGGCAGCTCTTGTAGAACTTGGCTGTTCTCGGGGGGAATAAACAGGGTTGGATCTGCTTATTTAAATATTTGGACCCAAGAAATCTTAGGTCTTTAGATTAGACTGGGAAGTCAAAAGCCATCCTAGAAGAAGGAAGAAAACTACATGGGTGTATTACTTCACTTGAGACAGACTTTTAAAAGTCTATTTTAAACAGACAAATAGTCTGGCTGGCCAAATGTGGCTTTCAACGATCCATTGAACCCCTTTCTCTGTTCAGAGCTAGTACCTGCATGTTTCTGGTTCTCGCCTGTTCCATATTTCCCAACTATAAACAGAAGTGATATGCTTCATTTGTGGCCACAGCCATTTCAGCTGGAAAGAGAGCAAGGTATTAGTCTGGATTATCCAGTATGCTAAGCCCTAATGTGGCTTCTTGTTTGTGGCAGTGTTGGCTTACACCAGCTCTTATGATTTGTTAATCATCATTTCTGGATGAGGAAGTCATATTAGTCCAGCTAATTGTGTTTTGTTGAGTACATGGTGGCTAAACAAATCATGTTAAAATCTCTTTCAAGTCAAGGTGGAGCCCTAGTGACATCACAGGCACATCTGTCCACTTATTTTGGCATGATACATTGGTCACTTGCTGTTGTGTTCTTTTGAATTTTTTTTTTAAATTTTTGACTTCCCTGTCTAGTTTACAGTCCTGCTATTCTCTGCTGGTCTCCCATCCAACCACCAACCCGTCCCACCCCTGCTTAGCTTCTGAACTGAGACAAGGTCAGTCATGTGCTGCAGCCTGCTAGGACAAGGAAACCAGAGCTGGGTGAACCCAAATAATTGTGTTAAGTTCCCAACATTTTCCTGCAAGCACCCCTGTCCAGATGTTTGTAAGGAATCAAAGGGCTCCTGAAATTACTAGATCATGACTTTGAGGGAAAAAGGAGTATATTACTAAATTCTGTCTACATATTGGAATGCTTGCTTTTAGAATAGTCGTACTGCACTGATGACAATAGTGACATCTATCACTAGCTAGAATACTGGAATGGGAGATTAGTCTTGCTTCAATCCGGATACTCCCTGCACTGAAATCTCTTTGGACGTGCAGTGAAGTTACAGTTCCAAACCAAATATCATTCTCAGTTGATCCTGACACGCCATTCCAGCTGTCTGCTCTTTGCAACTTCTGTACTGGCAGCATTGGGAGGTACCAAGGTTCCAAATTGGGCAAGAGAGTGAGCAAAAAAATAGAAGGAATAATGTGTTGTCAAATGAGAGACTAGTACAAATGAGCTACTAACATCACCTTAAGAACTACAGAGACTTGGTTAGAACAGACTAGAAGTTAATTGAAGTCTCAAAATAATTAGCTCCTCTCAAGACAGGGGCCTTTGCTGAAATGTAATCTGTCTCTGGGGCACGATTACCAAAGATAGCACATCTCATGAAAATTGGTCTTCAAGTGTTCAGTGAATTTGTAAAAATTTTTATTGCATGTGGGCAAACCGGATGTCCTGCTTCTCCTAGATTCTAGAACCCAAGGCTGAAAGCCTGCTAGAATATACAGTATGTGCATAACAAAATATTTCTTTGTTATAATTAAAGATCTATTCTTCTATCAGGGGTGTCTGCAAGCAGATTTTAATATGCCTTTATTTATTCCATTGACATGACACTACTATAGTCTCATGCCAAGTAAGTGTGGCCACATATGTTATTTCAATGTTTATCTTTACACAGCCTTGTGAGATTGGTTAGTTAAAAAGTGACTAATAGTTACTTAGTAAGTTTCCTGGCCAAAAGAAAATCTGAATCTAATGTTAAATTAGGCAATATTAAGTCCTGCATTCTATCCACTGTTCCTGTGATCAATTAGGAGGAGGCCAGGAGGTGTAAACGAAAATAAGCCATGGGACTCAAACATTTAAACAGACCACAATCAGGACAATTGTTTGGCAAAGAAGCTGCCTGGAGAGGAGTCCTTTTGATTTAGAAGGGTCTGCTGGCAATTTGAGAATCACCGTTGAAGAAGTTACTCGATCTACAGCTAGTGGCTGATCTCATCTCATCTCATCTCATCTCATCTCATCGAGCAGACATTCAGAGTTGAGGGGTGCTGGTTTAGTCCCACTATGTCCCACCATCCACTATCACAAAATAAATGTTTGCGATAGTATGATGAAAATCTCCAGTTCTGTACAATCTGCTGACATACATTAAAGTAATAGTATAAGTAATACTATATTACTTATAAGTAAGTACGATACAGTAACAGTATAAACTGCTTCCTCACAATGTCTAAACCAACTCTCTATCTTAATAGTAAATCAGGAAAACCACGACACAATCCACTACTCCAGTGGGAAGTGTTGCGTAATGACCTAGCTTTTATTCTTTCTTTTTTCCCCCTCGGTTTCATCTGCTTAAGGGGTGGTAATAAGGGTAATGACATTACAAAATGTATTTGTCATTTTGGGTACTTTGGTTAGGTAAGAAAGTCTAAAAGTGTAATGGCTGCTGTTTAGCTTCTCAGATCCATTAAGAGGACTTTGCAGAAGGGCAAACTCATTTGCTCATGGTGGGCACGGGAGCTGAGCAAGGTGCAGATGGGCTGCTCCTCTTCCTAAGGATTTTTCTATTCCTTTTCAGCAGAAGAAACCTATCTGTAATACTTATAGCCAAGTGAGTCAATGTAGTCTTTTCCATCAAATGGTACCTTCCTGGCATCTCAAGCTAAGCTTTTCCCCATCCCTTTTCTGTGAGAGCCTTTTTCACTTGAGGTGCTGAGTGTTAAACCTGGCTCTGTACATAGGGGAGCACACGCTGGGTTACTGAG